TTAATGTGGATGAATATACCAAGTGGCTTCTAGATTGTTGATCCTCTTATCCATCATTTGTGAAAACCAAAGAATGGCAGTAAATAAATTTGGTGGTAGCTGGGCTTCCTGGTAGGATTATGGCAAGGTGCCAGGGGAGGCACAGGCAATTTAAGAGAGTTCTCATTTACCCAGAGAAATCCTTTATTGGGAGGAATGGAGTCATCCTAGGATGAAAACTAGCATGGATTGATCTGCTGGATCCCCGATCCAGCTGACGATGGTTCTGATGCACTGAAAGTGTCAAGTGCACTCCTGCAGCAGTGTGCTTTCCTTGGAGAACTTGCATCAGGTCCTGATGAGGTTGGAACTCTCTCCAGCTTGTAAACAAGACGACAACCCGAGGCAATACATATCTCTATATAATCTCAATTAAAAAAACAAGGCCAGATGCTGCTCTCACAGAAATCTGTGTCATGTGGCTTAATAGAAAGTGGAAGAATAATGATTAAAAGTCTTGAAAACTTTGTTTCAAGCTTGATGGGAGAAGAGAAACAGCTTGGCTTCAGCTTGGAGAGCGCCCTGTCTTTTCTGACCTCTGTTATGAAGGCTGGCTGGCTTCTTCCTCGAGTGCAACCGTGTGTCTACCTCTGCACCGAGGGAAAAGGCAAAAAGGCGGGACAAGGCAAAGAAGGTCTGTGGCTCCATACTGCGCTTTTATGTTGACATCTCCAAGGTTGTCCCTTGCAGATCTGTTCACTGCAGATTCAAACTCTCATAGAGAATAATTTGCCCCCAAGGCTTCATAATTTAACATTCCTGATGAAGAAATTAAACTCAGGATTTTTTTAGACAGCGTTTTGATGAATTTATCAGAGGAACAGATTGTTTCACAATATTTGGGTCGCAGTAGAGCTGTGAGAGAGATTCTCCGGATTTTCTGTGCAGGAAATGAGAAGGCGGAGGAGGAAGTAGCTTTAAAATGCTCTCTGCTTTTGTATGCTGTGAGTTTAATGTATGTGAGAACTAGAACACCTTCATGCCTCTGCGAGAGAATATGGGCCTGCTGTCACCTGGAAAATTTGTTAGTGCCAGCCCTCTGACATCTCTGATTCATACAGGATTGGGTATTTTAATACTACACTTCCAGTAAACTGGTGGGTGCTTAAAGCAATTTAAGGTCTAGGACTAAAATGATAATTATTTCGCTAACTTCAGAAAAAACACTCTGAAACATCAGTGGTAACTAGGACTGCTGTTTACCCCTAAGCTATGCTACTAAATGAAAATAATCTTTTTAAGAATAATATAGATACTGTTTACTTATGTCACTGAGACATTATTTCAGGTCAATATCTGGTTTTGTGTGTTTACTTCCAACATATCCAAACACATTAAATATAAACTTCCACTGGAAAATACACAGGTACCAGATCTTGGCTTCTAGTTGAATGTTTTGCTAATATGAATGTACATATCCAAATTATCCATACATTAAATACTAAATGCAACTGATATATAGGAAGTTGGAATGGCCTCAACTTGTGCAGAACTGAAAGCAATTATTTTTCTTTAAGGCTAAAAATGACTTAGTTTACCTTCTTACTTTATATTTCTTATCTCTTCAGTGCAACAGAGCACTCACTTCAACACTGGATGTATTGAGTAGAGGTGATAAAAATGTTTGTGCAGTGCATAAATGAATTTTGAACAAATATTAATAGAACTATCTTGGCAACACAACAGGCAGCGATTGGACCCGTGACTGAACACCTGCTCCCGTGGAGGAACACGGATACATCCGTTATCCATCTGACCATCACCTCTTCATATCCCGGAGGGAGAAATGGGTGTACACACGAAAAAACAGTGACTGACATGTGAAACAGAACAGCATGAAGGAAGCTGGAATCTGAGTAACTTGCCCTTGCAGGAAAAGGATGAGATTGTTGGTCCAAGTACAGCACCGAGGCAGCTTTCATGCCAGAAAGAGCGCCTCAGCAAGCGAGTGCTGGCCCTTAAGGGAGGACTGCATTCAGGCCCCTCTTTAATAGTCTACCTCAGTGTCCCTAATCAATACAGTCCTGTTGATTTGAGAAACATCTGCATCTTGGACTGGCTGTGTCGTGCATTTCCTTGTTGAAGAACAGTCATGAATGGTGGCAATGCAGACCCAACTCTCATTGTCCAGAAGGACAGACGGTCAGGAAGTCTGTGGCAGGATCAGAGGTGTGACATACCCTACCACACCAGGAAAATTACAGCACCAACTAGAGAAGAAGACAGACAGATTAGAGGAAGGACATAAGGTCTGGCTCATTAGCTGGGGAAATGTTACCTTACACTGACCTTCAGTCTGTCTAGTTCTTGCAAACTTTCTGCATAATTTCTCTAGAAGAGACCAATTCCTGTCTGAAACTCTTTGTCTACCTTCCTATTATCTTCTGTCCCGATTATTACAATGTCTTTTCCTGTTGTCATGACAGCTCCAGTTGACCCCTGGCGTCAACGAAGATGCTGCTGCATAGACTGTTTTTCATCATCTTTCTTCTTAGAGCATCCTGCTACTATTTTTTTCTTCCTTCTTTTCCACATGACATTTTTACTTCCACTTTTAAGGCCTTGGCTGGCTTACACTCTTCCTCTCATTCCTTACTGAAGCCACTTTACTCAGCCAGTGACACCACTCTCCATCGCTTAATTCCTCTCTTTTCAAACATGCACTCTTGATCTCTGCTATGTTGCTCTTCATATTTTTGTCTGGGCAACAACACTGTTTCTGCAAAGCCAGTTCTTTCCCATCCCTCCTGCATATTCTCCTTTTAGGTTATTCTAGCACAAACCCAGGTAACGATTAGACTGCTGTCATACTGAAACTCCACATATCACGCTGGCTGATGTCATCTCAGGGTGTTCTTGCACTACGTTCTCTGCTTGCAGTTACCTTTTCTTTCTTTAGAATATAACAGTATTTGTGGTAGAGACCATCAGTCTGCTCTGTATTTACAGGGTCACTAATGAAACAAAATCCTGCCTCATGATTTGGTTTAGAGGAGCTCCGATGATAAATAGCACATGTGCTAAAGGAGTGGGTTGGATCTGATGGAGAATCAGATGATGTATATAATTGTGTACTATCACCGAACAGAAAGAACCAGGCTGGCTTGCTCACGCTCTGCCAATGTAAGTCCATATAATAATAATTACGTCTTCTCCAGTTACTGGAAAAGACACAGGTTTTGGTAACAGACATTCTGACGTTTCTCATTGCAGAGAAATACGGTTTCGAAAAGAATTTCACAATGTTGACAGTTATTACGCAGTTGTGCGAAATGCATATTTAATATTCATTCCTTAGTTTTGCATGCAATTATTCAGTTTTACTTTTAATTTTAAGAGCAGTAATCACACACAAAGTCTACGGAAAAATTAATGTGCATATACTTGAACTCTCCCCCCCCCGCCCCTTCTTAAAGTAGTATAGAAAACTTTGCAGTTCGAGTTTATATCTGTATGGTATATGGTAGAGTATACTCTGCCATCTGCTGAGCACAGTGAGAAATGCTCACATGGCCAACGTTGAAATGGATAAAGTCGTGCCCGTCTGTTCCTGTGATATTTTAAATACAGAAAAGAATGTAATCAAACTAGCAGGCAGATCTAAGGAAGGACTTAAACCAGAGGCCAGAGAGTTCATTACAGCATGGCCGTGTGTTGGAAAGATACTTGTAAAATCTTGTCAAGAAAGAGAAGAGGAAGAAGCAGGTTGTCAAATGGAAAAATAATCCTATGTAAATACAGAAAATGAAGTCAATTTTTTTCCTGTTGGTTTAGCAGTGGTACTTTGCCCTTTGGCACTATGTATTTGGTAAATATTTTTAGCAGGACATTCACAGCATTTTCTTTCTGAGAAGAATAGCATGTTCCTAATCATTTGATGTTGTGGCTAAAATGTGTGTTTTAAATGGAAACAGAGAAACTTTAAAAAACAAAAATAAACAAACTATTTAAGATCACAGCAGTAAGAGTTTGACATAACCTAACTTCTCATTAGAGCCTCAAATGTCCCTCACTCCCCCTCACAGGCTGTGAGTCAGCAGGAGAGGAGGATACTTAGATTAGAAACGCCAAACTGTGGAACAATGATTACACAAATGTTATTTCGGTTGCACTTCAGATGCTCCTGCAGTTTAAATCTGCTAAATTAGGGGAACTGCAGAGATCAGAACCTCAGCTGATATCTGTGGAGTTTTGACTTGATGACCCCAAATCGCAGCACCAAAACAAGTTTTTATACCACCCAAATATATCATTTAAGTTTGACTCCCTTGTCACAAAGAAGCACAGAACCAGAATCATCATTTCACTTTTCCTGCAGCACTGGCATTGTGAGCCCAGTTTCTGATGCTTCTAGTTATCTGTTAATTGAAAGACGCTTATTGACGACATGAATCTGATCAAACTGACCCCAGAAGCTTCACACCAGATCATCACCTAGTGTAAACTGGCATGAAGCTGGTGTCATCACCGGAGGTGTATGACACCACCAACATCACTCCAATTCTAATCACCTCACCTTGAAAAGATTTTGTTACAACTCTCAGGACTCTGTGGTACGTAGAAACGTACACACTCGAGTGATAAGCAAAAGCTTCTTTGTGACAGTTCTATTATTTGATCCAATATCATATTCCAAACACCCTCATCCTCTAAAGATGCTGAGAAGACAATGTTGTTTTTTTCCGAAAACATCAGTCCCAACAGGAGATGCTCTGCAGAAACAACCAGAGACGTTTTCAGCAGAGATCGCTGTTTGAATTCCTGCATTATGTACGAATGCACCATGTGACGGTTGTTTCATCCTTTATTACAAGCAATACAAGGAACCTTTTATCTTCTGTTTACTAGGATGGGAATAAATATGAAGAGTTAATATGTAACCACCCTTTTGCAGATGCCTTTATTTTTAAGAGAAGAAACACTGGACTGAGGGTCATTTGGGAAGCCTGTGGACTGCAGCAATGTACTCCCTGGCACTGTTCGCGTGTGTCGTTGCTCTGAGCCACTGTGCTCTTGCAGCAAAAGGTAAGTGCCTTCCACTTTCTAAGGGCAATGCTATCCTGAAGTGTGAATGTGGGAAAGTGGAAAAAGCAACAGGATTTGAAAGCCTTTAAGACAACTCTGGTCCAGTGTTTTGAAGGGGAATTTTCTCTGAAAGCTACTTCCTCTCTTTTTTCCCCCCTTCCATTCCTTCCTCTCTCTCTTCCTACCGTGAGGTGAATTGCTGTGTACAAAAGGATAAAATGGAGGAAAATCAACAAACTATTGACTGAAGTTGTGGAAATCAGGTTGTCTGCATGCTGGGGGGCACCGCATATGCCAGGAGTTAACCTTGCTCCATCCCTCTGCCCAGCCCCCTGCTCACCTCGCTTTCCCCTCGGCCGCAGGGGCTGCCTGGCACAGCTCTTGCCTTGCTTTTCTCCTAGTTCCCCCCACACCAAGGGCTCCGAGCACCATTTCATGTCCTCTCTCCCTCTGCCATTCATTTCTACAGCTCA